CCTGAGGTAGGTGCGCGGTGACTAGCACTTTGCGCACACTCTAAACAACTGTTCAACACGCGTGTAAGCTTTGAGTCGTGCTCAAGTCTTTACTAATCGCGCACGTAGTATATTAAAAGCTTCATAACTAAGCTAAGCTAATTTAGTAAGATTATATCACAGTAATTGAACTATAACTATCCGAAATTACAAATCGTGATGGTTTTACTGTTTCTCAGAAAGATGTGCGATAAAATACATACTTACCTACCTTTGATAAATGGAATGTCTAGACTGGTAGGAAAACTCAATTACGGATTTGCGGCAAATACAAAAGCATGAATAGGCATTACTTAACTTTTAATCAAACTCTGAATCCAATACACAAATCAAAATAAGCTCATTTAAGTTATGAGAGGTTATTTCTGCTGATCTACACAATATCGCCGATTGGTCCGGGAAGTTCGGTGTGAGGGTCAATCCTGGCAAGTGTCAGGCGATAGTGCTGGGGAGCTCCAGGCAACTGGCTAAACTGGATCTGGGATCGGTCCCTAGTGTTGTCTTTGACGGAGTTGTCGTTAACTAAACGTAAAAAATCTCGGACTCTTCATTGACAGCACTCTGAGTTGGTCCCAGCATGTCAGGGAAGTCAGTAGGAAGGTGATCGGCTCAATGCGGGCACTCTACCGCTTTAAAAATTTCCTCCCTTCCAGCACTAAGATCTTACTTGCTCAGTCTCTGATCCTGCCTATCCTCGACTATGGTGATGTATGCTGTACGGACATCTCACAGGAACTTTTAAACAAGCTGGACCGCCTTTTGAACAACTGCATCAGATTTATCTTCGGTCTCCGCAAGTTTGACCACATCTCACCTTTTCGTTCGCAGCTTGGTTGGCTTCCCATCAGACAGCGTAGATATCTTCGTTCACTTTGTATGCTTCATTCAATTCTTTTCAATCCCGACTCTCCATCTTATTTAAAAGATAAATTTCAGTACCTCCACTCCACTCACAATAGAAATCTTCGCTCTAGTCAGTCTCTTCAGCTTGCCACCCCTCATCATAGCACTGGCTTCATGTCCAACTCTTTCTTAGTCTCCGCTGTACGGCTCTGGAACGGCCTTCCGGCCAAATTACGCAAACCTTCTTCCAAATTTACTTTCAAAAAGGCTTTGCGCAAACATTTCAAGGAATGACCTTTTTTTCTCCATTTTCTCGCTATCTCAGACATGAGTGATGTGTACATCTATATTATTATTATGTTTGTGTATTTATGTGTATGTCTATTATATTTATTTGTATTATGTTATTTATTTTATGTAATCTTATGTAAGTAGGTTTATTATCAAAAAATGTAAATTTTTTGCACCGCCTTACTCTTTCTGCATGACCCGTGGTTGACTGGCAGAGAATGCCATCCGGCATTAAGTCCGCCACAGTGCATTTGTTACTTTGTGTGCTGAAGTATAAATAAATAAATAAATTTATACAGGCAATTACGACCGTATTGACAAACGATGCTTGCTTAAGTGAAGCAGCAAATCGAACGCAGAGAGTTGAATAGAGCTCTGTGATTGGTTCGCGTGTGACCCTGTGCATCCTCGTGCACTGTGAGACCTCATAGTAATGTTTGTGACTGCGTTAATGTTCTTCGAACAAAACCACAAAGTCAAAATTTATTTAGTCGCATGAACTTTTAAAAACAATGCATACAAATCATCAAATATTAAATAAAAATAAAATACTAATAAAAACATTTAAACTTGCTCTTATGGAGCCTTTAATGTCTCTTAATCTTTTGCCCTACCAGCGCTTCGAGATCTCAAAATATTAAATTACACCCTAAATCCGATCCTGGCTGAAAAGAAAGTGCTTCTATGACATGAGGCTTATGAAATAAATTAGAATGGAACACAACGCCCCGGCTTTCCCCGGCTTTGGTTAATTAAAGGATTGTCTAAGTTCGTGCCGTTAAATTGAATTGCACCTTCTATCTTTGCATAACCCTCCTCTGCGCATTGGTATTAGAGACCGACGTTTCAGAACAGTTTCATAGAGAGCTAGAGTTTTATGTGAACAATCAATTAACTATTAAGAATGTTCAAATATTTTATACCTATCTACGAGTAATACTAGTATTCAAAAAACATTTTTGTGTTGGATAGACCATTTATCGAGGAAGTTTAGGCTATATGTATAACATTACCCTACAGCGGCGTAAATAGGGGCGGAGCAGACAAGATTTTTTTGCAAAAAATATATTATTATTCAAACAATTTTCACGCGTAGGTACGAAGTCGCGGGCACAGCTAGTTTATTATAGAAATAATTTTAAGCAAGCCGGTACTGACATTGTAACTTTAACAAAATCAAATGTTAGTAAATAGACTATATTGAAGATTCCCATTCACAAGTTTTTGTAGATAATAATTAAATAGTTAACTTTTAAGGGTTTCGTAGTCTTGTCAAGGAATCCTTAATATAATCAGTGTAATACTGTATTTATTACAAATATCTTACGCAGTAAACAGCAGCTCAAATAATTTTCGGCTTCATAGACCAATTCCGAGTTAATGAAGGTTAAAATGAATCTTTTGTTGCTGAGCGGCGTTGGAATACCTCATTATGCTTTCCACTTTATACAGTTGAACAATGAAGGGACCTAATTAGCGGAGTTTTAAACTTTGTTAAATAAACTTTAGCATCTTTTACGCAACTTATTGGATGAGTGCAAGTCAATAAATTAACCTAAATATTGCAGGATCTTATGTAATTTGTAATGGGGGCTATTTTGCTATGAAAATGGATAGTCTGATGTGCTAGCGTCTATACATATAAGCATCAGATAGATCGATGTTACTTAATTTCAATTCGGAATCAGCTTTTCTATACTGTATTTCAATTAAGTCACAAAATACATCGGATAGGATAACACATAATTAATTACTCCAAAAGTAATTACACGTCATGTCGTGGCCTCTGATTTGGGCTCCACAATAGTTCAAGGAGCCTTTACAAATACCACGTCAGTTTCAGAAAACAAGCAAATTATTAATAAGAGGATAGCCTCTAGGTTTACACAGGATGTCTAATGAAGAGTACGGTTATGGTCAAGTACAAAACAATAATTAATTTTTGACGGGATTGCTACCATGTACCTTAATTTCGAGTTTCCGATATTTCGGCACTGTTGCAAGCGCCATGATCACAGAGTAAGGCCGTATACAGAAAGAAAGCTGGAAACTTATAAGCGCTTACCGGCGCTTGTCAGCGCGCTAGTCCGTTCGTTCACAAAGGAAGCAAGTTGAATGGCATTTTAAATGGCAGCGTCCAGCGCTGACCAGCGCGTGTTGAAACTTGTCGGCGCCGATCAGTGCTTATCGTTATACTATTTTCTATACTATTTTCCTGCACGGCTTACCAGCGCTGAGAAGCGCTGATAAGCGCTTATAGGTTTCCAGCTTTTTTTCTGTATACGGCCTAACTGAGGACACTGGCGGGTGAGATGTTATGGGCAGACATATGGGTTGACCGATATTAAAATTCTGTTAGTGACCATGAAAGTTTAAAACAATATAAATAAAGCTTACTATGTACTAAATGAGGTTGTCCTATACATATGTATCATGTACAGAAAAAAATAGGAATATGAATTATGTTGGCAACAAACTAACAACAAGGTTCATCTCTGATATCGGCACCCGATACCTATCCAGTCAAAAACATGGAACGGCGAAATTTGTACAACAGCCCTTCAAATTCATGCAGCATGGATATTTTCTAACACAATAACTATGCAAGTAGTCTAAAACCGGTGGGCAATTTACTGTAGAAATTACGGTATTTTTTTCATAGATCCCAAAGTAAGGTCTGCTTTGAATGAATGGCGTTGAAAGCTGGCAGCCAAAAATTTTACCGAACTCCGATACATTCGTTTCGTATATACCTACCAGTATACAGGCACCCTTTGTTTTACAAAGCTAGCGAAAGGTGACATTGTTTTACTTTGAAGTCCAAAACTGTCAAGAGTAAAATTCCAACTTTTAATTGAACTTTGTTTCAGCACGAGGAGGTGGTACTTTTTTAGAGACCTAGAGATTTTACCTGAGAGGCATCTATTTATAAGTATGGCGCGAAGAAATTACGAGTACCAAGTGTTTTATTTTTTACCGATTCAGCAAATTACCAAATTACTCTTATCGTTGTGTGTTACGTTACAACGTTTATTATTTTTGATTAATATAGATTTATTTGACTCTACAATCATACTCGTAATTGCTTTCTTAAACAAATATCCCTTTGCTCATGCACGAGCAAACATTTATGATAGACATGCGGGCCATGTTCTGTCAGAACAATCAAAGTTAAATATTAACATCAAACTTTGTACCGAAATGACATGAAAAATTCACGGAAATGATAATAGTCTTCAACCAAACCGCACCTTTTGCAACGTTCTTAATACGCTTTTTCTTTCTCCCATTTTGATTATCTTGGACGATAATTATCATATTAATTACACTGCGACTGTTTTTGAATTTTAAATAGCAGCCAGCGAATGCAAATGTTTTTTTGAATATAGGATGTCTGGAGAAAGGTTAGACAAACTTAGTGGATGTATAGGTAAGGTTTTTTAAGAATATTAGTTTGCCCATTTGGTCCTAGATGAGCCACTTTTTTTAAATTGATATCTAGGTTTTTATTTAAATCTGCGTGATTGAAGATAATCTTATGTAGATTTTGAAACTTAATATGAACTAATTAATCAAACTTAAAAGCTTTAATGTTTTTAGATAAAGAAAGTATTTTGGAATGCTAGTGCAATATTTTTTTATGCATAATAAGGCAGCTATTTGACCACAATCGCACCTGATGTTAAGTGGGATGCAGTCTAGGATTGTACATAATTATCTGCTCTGTAAGTGCCTATTCACTCTCACAATTAATTAATTGCAATAAAGGAGCAGTTTTCGCATTATGCTTTAAAATAAATGTAATTTAAAGGAGTATTTTGACTTACCTGTTTTAACCAATTTGAAGGTGACTTGCTGTTGGTTCTTGAGCTGCTCATTGTGGTTGGGGTGCGTGAGCTCGCGCAGAGCCATCTCGAGCGACGGTTGCTGCATGCTGCGCGCGCGCGGAGGCGACGCCTCCTTCGAGTGGCTCCACTTGCGGAAGAAACTGACTTTCTTGGATTTTGAACCTGCCGATAATACAATAAGGCTTAATATTGCATATTACGTTTACATATTGGGACACATTGGAAACTTTGCGGAATCGTTAGTAGTAAACCCAAATCAAACTGAAGAGTTAGATGATCGATGACAACAACCTGAATGATCAAAGCGTGATTAACTTCGAAGTCATTTCATTGTCCATGCGCAATGAATGTGATGATCTTGTTAGATTCACTCTCAAATCCACGCTCATTCCAAAAACCTTCTGGAGTCGAGTGTAGTGGCGTTGGCGTCGAAGGCGAGGAGGTTCGGGCAGACGCGGTGGGAGATACGCTCGCCGGCTCGGAGTAGGGGCGAGGCGGGAGGAGACTAAGAGAGGAGGTCGCGGGGGAGGGGAAGTGCGCCGCTGAAACATCTGACCGGCGGTCTGGCTCAGGAGTGGTCACGCGGATGTTCGCAGTGAACTGGGGCGAGCTCGCGACCTCGAACAACGCATCGAAGTCGCGGTCGAAAATATTCTTCCTGGAGAAAGCCGGCGTGGGCAGGGGTGCGGGCAGTTCGAATTCATCTGGAGCGGGTGTTCTGACTATTTTTCCGAATTCATTGTCCTCGTGGCGACCGAGTTTTTTGAAAAGCTTGGCTTTGGTGCGCTCGCGCAGCTTGGGTGGACGCTCGAGCGACGGCGTCGGCGACGCCGGCGCGCGCTCCGGGGTCTCCGGGGGCGCCGTTTTGGGGAGGGAAGCGGCGCGGGGCGGGGCGGGGTGCGGGGGCGGGGGTTGCGGCGCGGGCAGCGGCCCGACGAGGACGTCGAGGGTAGGACGCTGCCGGGGCCGGGGCAGCGAATGCGAACTGTATGTCAGGGAAACTACTTCATCCGCGGGATATATTACGTACATCCCTGGCGAGCCCGCATCGCGCCGGCCCCTCGCGCCCTCCGAAGAGGTTTACGCGCGTCACTTGAGCTTACTACTACTAAATAGCGTTACCAAGTACTTTTCTTATGGTAGTCACTAGAGAGTTTCCGTTTGAAGATTATGATAGTGGAATGTTTTCTTCGCTGTTGCTTAAAGGTGTCGAAGAATGAATAGGAATGTTTTACGGAAGGGATCTTGAGCCGTGTGCAAGAGGTAAGGAGAGAAGTTCTTCTTGTAGTTTCAGCCACAAATCCGAACAATGCATCTTCATCCTAAATGAAAAAAAACTTAAATTAACATAAAAATAAAATTTTTAGAGTTATCGTACCTACATACGTAAAATTCTTATAAAGTTGTCAAGCGGTGTAAGGCAATGACAAAGGAATTAGCCTGGTACTTTGTAAACACGTTCGCAACAAACGAACAAAAACAAACACCCCTCTAAAACATGGGATCGAGTAAAGTTGACATAGGCTGTCGTCGATTTCTGCCCAAGTTTTGCTTATAAGAATAAGGGCTGATTTTTCAATCGTCGGATAACTTTTATCTGAAGAATAAACTTGTCATTTTGACATACTTTCCATACTGAAGCTGTCAATGTACCAAACTTATTCTTCAGTTAAAAGTTATCCAACGATTGAAAAATCGGCCCTTAATCAATAATATAATGACTTAGAATTGTACTTTATTCTTTGTTTAGAACTTTCCAGTTTATGAAAACAGTGACTTTCACGTTACAACCTGTTTTATTATGAACAAAAGAGAGTTCGGAAAAATAAGCCCTTTACGAACTTTTCTAAAACATTTAACGTATCATTTTCATAAGGTGCGAGCGTTTCGCGACACGAATATTAAAAACCTTTTATAAACGCATCATGAATTATTAAAAGACGCTTAATTTTACAGCTTTATTCAGAGTACTTAGAGCTTTTAGAGGATTTATTAAGAAAATGTTTTGCAACTGAATAAAAAATATTTCAGAGATTAAAATAGTTTTTACAAATACCTACGTACAAGCATTACACAGCTCGTCGAAACGAAAAAACAACAAAAGTTCGACGAAGCATTGATGCTTTTCAAAGAGATTCGCCGAACGTATTTCGATGTTCATTCCACCGATTCTCTTTTCGCATATAAATCTGACAGTTGTGTATTCGACTCGATAACATATGGGACAATATGGGTAAAATACACGTTAACAGTCTAGCGAGCCGACCGTAAATAATACTTGCACGAAAGTAAACAACTAAACTACGTACCTACTTGAGTAGAGACTCACGCCCGTATTCACAAACGATAATTGCTTAAGTGAAGCAACAAATCGAACGCACAGCATTGAATAGAGCTCTGAGATTGGTTTATGTGTTACCCTGTGCGTCCACGCGCACTGTGAGACCTCATAGTAATGTTTGAGAATACGGGCGTCACCCCTGAAGGACTCATTTTAAAGGGGCAACAACCCTATTATTTTAATGTTGAGGTGTAATTCTATCGACCACGAGTCATTATTTCGTTCACTACAGTCTTATATTATTATATCGAATGCTCAGATCATAGAAGGGAATAGATGTGAAACGGGGGCGTGGCGCGTGTCTCCGCGATATGCCCAGAAACGAACATCGGCCGCGTAGCTAGGTTAGTCGCGATTCAGTCGTACTAAGGAAATGTTCTCCGATATTTTGGATAATGCGTCGTTACGTGCAATAAAACAAGTGAAACGAAGAACTACAGGAACAATGGAGTCATTTACTACATGTAAGTATTGCAAATCCATTGGTATTTTGCTTATAAATAAAAAAAACTAAACATTTTCACGAACGAATTCAGTGCCGTAACAGTTACTGCGATATCGATATCAGTGGTGATAAAAATTCTAACACGCTTGTACATTGACGATTTAGTTAGCAACCACTTTATGTCATGCTCAACTACTGCGCAATGTATTTAATTTCTTCCGATATCCACTGTCGTGTGAAAATACACAGTACGGCCGCATGTGCCGGTCGTAACATAGTGCCGTGCTCGTGTTCTAATGCGGTTTCCTATTATCGATAAATAGAAGTAAATTATAATTTTCTATTTTGTAATTTTAAATAAAAAAATGATGTGTTACTTGCGATTATAAGATTTTACAAAAAAATAATAACAGTAGAAGTAATTAGTAACTGTCAACTATGTAATTACTATAAGAGCTAGTTGAAAGCCTAATATAGGCATTATTTTTGATAAACATATGCGGTACGCAGATCGCCATAATTAAAAAATAAATGCGTGATATTAGTTAATAATAACGTATAATAATAAAAAGGTTTTCATACATAAGCATTTTGTGAAACCAGTTTCGAGCCTTGCCCCTAGCGATTTAAAGTATCGATATCTTGTCGACTCCATTTTATCTTTGTTCTCTCACTAGCGTTTTCTATGTGTGCGTCACGTCACGCGGCCATTGATTGGCCATAAGGCACGCCTTCTGGCCAATCACAGCACTTTTAAGCCGGTTGCACATGTTGTCGTAGACTCTCAGTCGCTTTGTTTTTACACAGTTGAATGTGTGTGTGGGAGCTGTGGTGGGGGAAATGTGGGGACACTGGTTCTCGTTGTACCTAGTTACGCGCGACTTCATATCTATTCTCTTTCTATGATCTGAGATCGAATGCGTCGCTTTTGCCTTTATAAATTTCATTACTGCGTACAACGTAGCAAATAGGTCCCTCAACAATTTTATGGCTCGCTTTTCATTATTTTGTTAAGAATTTAAAAGAGCTCTACAATTTTAAGGCATAATGGAATGACAAAGTTTACGGATAATACATTATGTAGGTAGGTACTTGTAAAATATGATAAGAAGAACTGACAAAACTTCAGCTGATTCGGATCATACAGCTGTAATAATATAAAGATGATGAATTAAGATATATTTTACTGATCAAATAATTCGCTTCAACTTTAAATCTTTTTAAAGTTTAAGCGAAATTATTTGATCAGCAAGATCGATCTTAAATAAGTGTCTTAGCTTACTATGCATTATTAAAGCCCACCGTTATCAGTGACTTTGTGTGTGCATTATTTTAAAAGCGGAGGGTTTTGTATAGTATCGCCACGTAGTAAATTTCGAGAGCCTTCAGGGCTCGAGGGCAGCCATTGTGGTTCGTCACTTGACCCGTTCTCAGTCAGCGCGTTGTTTACGCTGAACTGGCTGTAAGGTGGAATTATTTTGTTCAATATTCCCTTAAATAATATGTAAATTACTTAATAAAAACTCTTGTTTCTCTGTCAACATTACTGACATTATATTTACAACTCACTGGCATTGTAACAAATCTTTACTCGTAGCAGGAAATAAAAAGTAACGGGCTATTTAGATCCAATTTTTAACCCTAATGTTCTTTATTTCTTTTTATCTACTTCAAGGGTTTTAAACGATTTCGTCAACGACTTTATTCGATGTTGTTAACACATTATTATTTATTTAAATAAGCCCTATTTATAAAAATAAATGGATTTATGAAAAGAGTTCAATGGTTTTTGCAAGCGTTTGGCTTAGTGCCCATAAAGCAGTCTAGTTGTCACCGTAATACGATTGATTGCGGTTTTAATACAAATTCACACGTTTATATCACTGTAATGTCACTTTTAAATATTTCCTTTGGTATTAACTACAATGAAATATTGAGGTTTTTGCCGACTTACTTTTTAATAAAACACTTGTCGTCGCATTACAGAGATGCCACGACCACCATGCTGAGTGGTACTTTTCAGTATTATTGTACCATGTAAATTGTACGTTATTTCACAATATTGTTGTATGTTAGGTATATTTTTCGATAAAACTGAACAAACCTTTCTTTCTTTAATAAACATGGAAATATTTCTTGTTCCGTTGCCTTTTCTGCTCAATAAATTGTAACTAATAAAGAATAAGCAGCGAACCGAAGTGAATTCAAAATGTGAAGCTGCATTTATTTGCCCAAGTTTTCACTGAGGGAATAATTTGAATCCGTTGACGGGTTTTCATGTAGCGAATTTCGCTAATCGTGCAAATTGAAACGCGGAGTCTGAACCGAGTTTCGCAGACTGTTAAGCATCATTTGCATACGTTATTGACGCGTTAACAACTGTCAAAGAGTACACAACATTCTAAAAGGGATTTAAAATATACCTATCTAACCATTTCTTTATGTGACGACAACAAACCTTTTTTATGTTGGTTAATGCAACATAACATTTTCTTTTCCAGGAAACGTAAGCTGTAAAGTCATTAATAGCTAGAGAAGTACATTAGTCATTGTGCACTACAAAATCCTGATATTTTTAGGATTGTGTGGGCTATAAGAAGATATTACTACCCTGGTGTGTCATATTTTACAAGCAGCATCTATTTGATGTCTCTATTTCATGTTTATAAAATTAACTTAAGCAGAGTTCCACCAACTCATTTTGACCGTGACAATGACCGGTGCTTTTTTATGAAGTTTGACAGATTTTTGACGTATGTTATAGTTAAAGTAAGATGATGCAACCCAGCATTAATGTTGATGAAGATGTCAGTCTCATAAATCGCTTAAATTGTGCCGTATTTTTTGTGCATTTCTCTCTTTTTTTGTTTTGTATAGTATAATAATAAGCGTTAATCTCTTTCTTATTCGCTTTACGCTATTTTCAAATCCTTTGATCACAATAACGCAGTTACTATATTCCTAAGTTCTTGACTGTGTAAGATACAAAACGTTTATAGTCCAGTCATTTAAGCTTAAATTAGGTAAGAATCTCGGAATTGGAGATACCCAGCTGTAAGTCTGTAAATACTTGTATATTGACACCCTAAAAGTTGTCTCAAAACCTACATATGGTAGGGTGTAAGCAACTATTAAATTTTAAGGTCAAAGGTCACAAAAATCGTTTTTTTGCGCTTTTTTTGGAAATATCTCATTTCCTATGGGTTTTTTGCTATTTGTATTTATTATCAATATTGTAGAATACTAAATTCTCTACAAATTTTGTTTAAAAAATTTTTTTATACGGTGAACCGTTTTCGAGATAGAGGGCGGAGAGCGCGCGGTCACTGCATCACTTCAAGTCAACTTAAGGGGTTTAGGTTTTTCATACAAAAGGATTTTCCCGCTAATTCCCGTGGGAATTTCGGGAATTCCTTGTTGTAAATAAGCTTTAAGTTTACTAAGGTACCTACATACCAAATTTCAAGCGTCTAACTTCCGTTAAGCGTTTAGATTTTTCATACAAAAGGATTTTCCCGCTAATTCCTGTTCCCGTG